CACTGTCACCGCGAGCGTCGTCTCAGCCAGCTCACAACCGCCACACCACGGTTACCGCCGCCGCACCTTCACCGCCACCTCCGTTGCCTCCGCCGCCGTCGCCTCCGCCGCCGTCGCCTCCGCCGCCGTCGCCTCCACCTCCGCCGCCGCCGCCGCCACCCCGCCGTTGCCGCTGCGGCGTCGGCGCCACTGCCGCCGTCGCCGCCGCCGCCGCTACCGCCGCTATCTCCATCGTCACTGTGACCGACATCGTGGCCACCGCCAGGCCACCACCGACGCCCCATCACCGCGTACCGCCACCACCGTCACCGCCTGCCGCCGCTGCCCCCCGCCACCATCGCCCCCGCCGCCGTCGCCCCTGCTGCCGTCACCACCGCCGCCATTGCTATTGACGCCGTCGCGCCACTGTCACTGTCACCGCGAGCGTCGTCTCAGCCAGCTCACAACCGCCACGCCACCGTCACCGTCGCCACACCTTCACCACAACACCACCGCCGTCGCCTCCGCCGCCGTCGCCTCTGCCGCCGTCGCCTCCGCCGCCGTCGCCTCCGCCGCCGTCGCCTCCACCTCCGCCGCCGGCGCCACTGCCGCCGTCGCCGCCGCCGCCGCTACCGCCGCCATCTCCATTGTCACTGTCACCGGCACCGTTGTCGCCGCCAGGCCACCACCGACGCCCCATCACCGTACCGCCACCACCGTCATCGCCGCCGCCGCTAGCCCCGCCGCCATCGCCCCCGCCGCCGTCGCCGCCACCGCCGTCACCACCGCCGCCATCGTTACTGCCGCCGTCGAGCCCCTGCCACGCCACCGGAGTCGCCGCCAGCCCACAACCGCCACCACCGTCACCGCCGCGACACCGTCACCGCAACACCACCTCCGCCGCCCCCCCTTGCCGTCGCCCCAGCCGCCGTCGCCCCCACCGCCGTCGCCCCCACCGCCGTCGCCCCCACCGCCGTCGCCCACGCCGATGTCGCCGTCGCCACCATCTCAACCGCCACCGTCGTCGCCACCACCAACACACACCGTCCCCACAACCGCCACCGCCGTCGCCTAAGACCGCCTCCGCCGCCGTCGCCATTACCGCCTTCATCACCGCTGCCGTCGCCTCCCGCCTCCTCTCCACTCTCGCCCGCCAACATCTCCGCCTCTCGACACCTTCGCCTCTGTCGCCGGCGCCGCCGGCGCCTCCTGCGCCCTCTACCAGAGCAATGAGAAGCGCTGTGCCAAAACCATCCGCTACCCTAGGGCTCGCCGTTAGTATAAAGTTGACGCGGGCCGGGTAATAAGATAGGCAGCCTTACAATGGCGACCCCGAGCGCCTCGTCTGCCCCATGGGCATGGTGATTGTGTGACGCTTGCTCGCCGGAGCTCTTCCTTGCCGGCCGGACGAGCTCTCGCTGCGGTCCGAATGCGCTTTTTCGGCGGGGGTTACAGCATCGGCGGGGGTTACAGCACTTAGGCAAACGCAAGAACGGCATGCCTCTCGTGTGAGAAAGGGGCAGCTATTGTTAAAACATATTGTTGAAACGCTCCCATACTTCTACATTACGGACTGCGGTCACGCTCGGACACAGTCACCTTGCCTCGGACAGCGCGGCTCTACTTGCTATCGGGACGAGCAGAGGGCACACAGCACATGCTACATGTACATGTACATGTTGTGATGATGCGGCGCCGATGGGGGCAGATACCAGGACGAGGACGACCGGTGAGCGGCATGTGTGCAAGTCATGCGAACGCCGCCGGCGTTGGGCCGAGCGTTTTTGATCTCTCGGTAAGTGGGCGCCCGCCCGCCGCCTCTGAGGGGGTCGGGCCCCCTAGACTGAAAACAAAAACAAAGTGTAGAAACCGTCAAAAACAGCCTGCGAGAGCGGCGCTGCGCGCCGCCTAGAGGACGACGACATCGAGGATGTCATGTTGCGCGATGGCGTCATCCATTTCGTCAAGCCACCTTCATCGTGACCGTCGCCACCCTCGCCACCGTCTCGCCTACGTCGCCGCCGTCGCCATCGTCGGCCTCGCTGCCGAGACGGTGCTGCTGCACCTGACTCAACTCTCCCACCCCCCTGGCTCCTATGCCCCGACGTGTCCCGTGCTCCCCCGTCCGCCGATGTCTCTGCTGCCGCCCGGCGGAGCTCTGCAGCGCGGGCTCTCCTCGCCGCCTTCGCTGCCGCTGCATCGCTGTCGGCTCGTCATGTCTGTCTAGGGTCATTGGGGGCGTGCCATCGCTCGTCTCTCTCTCTCCCGGGGTCAGCTCCAACCTGCCGTGTCGGAGACGTCGCCCCGTCGCCCCCTCGGCTCCCCCCCCCCCCCCTCCGCTGAACGGTACTGCACATGCTGCGCGTTCTCTCGCCTTGTCCCAGGAGCCAGGTGCGTGTGTCTAATCGTAGTGGGGGCCCTGGCCCCCCTCTGTTTTCTGTTTTCTGTTTTTCAACACGCCCGCCCGCCCGCCACCCCGAGGCGGCTCGGCCCCCCACTTACCGAGAGATCAAAAACGCTCGGCCTTGCCCAGCCCCACGAGGGGCGCTCTTTCAGGAGACAGGCCCCAGCGTAGCCTGGCGCGGGTGCAGCCAGGGTCCTACTCTTGTGCACAAGTATTACTGGCATATGCCAGTAGATATTCAGCAAATAAGACAGCAATTGCAGCAAATTTGACAAATCTTATGGTTTTCGAGTGACAGTATGGATTCCGGGTGACACAGGTTGAAAGTGCTGTCAGCGCTGTCAGGCTGTCGGGCGCTGTCAGGCGCTGTCCGTCCGGGGGTTGCTGTCAGGCTGTCAGACCAGGGCTCAGATCCCGCCGTCACAGCGACGACGCGCTGCCCTGCCTGTGCCAAGGCCTCGACCTTCTTGGGCTACGGCTGGCCCTGATCGTCGCCTCGCCGAGCCCCTCGCTGCTGCCGGCGTTGCCGAGCACTCCGGGAATTTATTTTGAAGTACTTGTGTAAACTCGGGGAGCTCTTATTTACCCCAGGTTTGACCGCGCAGCTTTCAAAACTCGACGATATCTTCCGGAAAGACTGAACTTCCCGCAGAGCGGCAGCATGAGAGGCGCAGAGAAAGGCTGCGAGTGCTCGACGAGTCTTGCGAGCTGCGCGGTCAAACCTGGGGGGAACTGACCGCATCAAGGCGGACTTCCGAAACCTGGGTGAGCACCTCTGACGGTTCTCGCTCCCCATCGAGCTCTTCTTGCCGCACGGCTCTTCCTGTGTGCGCCGGCACAGAGCTCCGTGCCAGCCCCTCCAGCGAGATAGGAACGAGTGTATCGCTTTGACGGATCGACCGTGCTTGTTATCAATACCGATCTCACGTACACAGTTACACTCCAGACGTTCTGTACTCTCCTATCCGGCAACCGGCGAGACGCTGTCGTGAGCCAGCCGCTCTTGCGGCAGCCGCCAGCGGAGGCCGAGCGCGTCGCGTATCGATCGAGCTCGCGATCCGGGCCGTGGAGCCCACGAGGAAGACTTCTCGTCTGCCAGGACGGAGTCCCGACGCTCGCTGCGTCCGCTGTTACTGGGGTCTGCACACCTTTCGTGGCGCGTCCCGCAGTCGCAAAAAAGAACGAAAGACTCTTCGTCGATGCACAGCTCGGCTGCTGCCACCGCCGCGGCGGTGGCGGCGGCGGAGGCCGGGACGCGCCCGGCCACTGGGCGTCCGCCTGGGCGCGCGCCCGTCGCGGCCGTCGCGGCGCGGCGCGCTCCTTCGACGACGTCTGCGCCTTCTTCAGCTCTGTGAGGCTGGAGGCACATGCTCCTCGCTTCGCTGCGGAGCAGGTCGACGGCCTCCTCGAGGAATGTGTCGCGGCGCGCGCTCTCGCTCGACTCGGCATCGACGACTCGCTCGAGGTGGCCAAGCTGCGCGCCGGGCTGCGCCGATGCTCGCAGAATTCCCTCACCACCTCCCCAGCTCTCGCTGCTGCCACGCTGGGCGGCGAGGCGGCGCAGGGCGAGGCGGCCGCCGACGTGGCTCGTGGGCGGGGGCGGAGGCGCAGGCGGCTACGAGTCGCCCGTGGACGAGGCGTGCGCGTCGGAGGGCCTTGGCAAGGTGCCTGGAGGGTCGGGGCACTCCCTCGGCACCCTTCAGGCACCTGGGCCACCACGGGGCACCCCTCCGGCACCTTTGGTGCACCCATCGGGCACCCTTGGCGTGGCTGTGGGCGGCTCGACTGGGGAGTTGGTGGGGGTGGAGAAGGAGGAGCAGCAAAAGCAGCAGCATCAGCAGCATCAGCAGCAGGAGCATAACTTCGACGTGGAGGCGTGGCGCCAGCAGATGTGGCGAGCGGCGATGGACGACGACGATGAGGAGGGCGCGGCGGCGCTAGACGAGGCAGCGTCAAAGGTGTCCTGCCGTGAGGTATTTTCCCATACCGACCCCATATCGGGTCGGTGCAGCACCCCGGATCAACCCAACCTTCACTTCCTGACCACGTGGCGGGCCTTCGCCATAACTCGGCTCAGCAGGCCATCACTCACTGCCCCGCCTCAGGGGTGGTTAGTTCGTGCCAACAACCCTCGATCCAGGATCGCTGCGAGACTTCGAGCTCTGCGGACCTACTCTTTGCCTCGTCCGACGTCTTTTACTTTTCCTCTTCGCCGTCTACGCCAACTGGCGCGGCGGCGGGCCGGCGCCGCTGCGTTCCGCGGGCGCTAAATCTCCGACACCCTCTCCGACAGCCCGGGGAGGCAGCTCCCGCCGCGCGCCGTCAGCTCGTGGAGCCCGTGGACTCCCGTCGCAGCGCAAGAAGGCTGCGCGGCCCGCGGCGCGAAGGCTGCGCGGCCCGCGGCGCCCGTGGACTCCGTGGACTCCCGTCCGCTCGAGTGGGCGAGCGCTGCGGCTGCGTGCGGGCGGGTGATGGAGCGGGCATATTGGCATCTGCCCGAGCCACCTCTCGGGGGCTACGCGACGGGATACTTGCCCGACGGCAGCTGGGGCTAGTGCCATTTCACTGTGGCACAGCTCGCGTTACAAAACCTTGATTTGACCATTGCGCGAAAAAGGTACATCTCGGTGCCTTCCAGAGGCAGCTGCGACCCCGCCGGCCGTTCGAGCGCGAGGGGGTGGGGGGGTGGAAAATTTCGATACCCTAAGGTGCCCTGGTGATCCTGGGTTAGTATCGTCTCTTCTGAGCCCGCTCTTGATGGGTTGGAAGCGTTTTCATAGCGAATTCACGCCGATTTTGCCATACGGACGTCCCTGGCGCGCGCTCTTGAAGGCCTCATCCTGGGATGGTGCTCGCCAGCGTGAGTTCATACAGTGCTGCGAGCTGGCCTAAGGCCGGACCTTACGACGGTCCAGCGCTGGGCAGCGTGATGGCTCTTACTCGAGGCGCGACATGAGTGTACGAGGACCTCAACGTCTCGGTTTGGCGAACCACCATGAGGAGAGGAGCCGCT